AAATATAGGTTTTGCGTGGCAGCCATTTTGAAATTTAAGATGGCTGTCAGAATGACCTCGAATGGAATATTGTAGTTCATAGTAAAAAGTTTGAATTCTGAGAGCCTGGGTATGATTCTAATGTAAAATTTGACAATTACGTAATTTTAAAGATACCATAAAATATTTGACCTTGAATGACCTTGAATGACCTTGAATGACCCATTTGTGGCAATCTGACCAGGTCAAAAATGATATGATGGTATTCCATATATCATATAAACATACTCTTAGACATTAGAATTATAATTCCAAGTGGTTTAGAAGCGGAGATATAGATAAACATAGGTTTTATAAGGCTACCATTTTGAAATCCAAGATGGCCGCCATAATGACTTCGGATGAGGTGGTTCCTACCAAAAATTGAATGCTATGACCATAAGGAGCATGTAAAAAAAAATTGGTGCTTTTGTCCGGAACGTCCACATTAAGTCCAAATATGGCCCTAAGCTGCCGTACTATGTTCCCTGCTACAACTTAACTCTCCCATGAAGATCCCGGCGTGTCATCAAGCGCAGGTCAAGAAGGCGTTCTATCTAGTCCACAGTGGCAGGGACTGAGAGATGGAGCAGTACACCAGGGTAACCCCCTACTCGTCTTGAAAGATGTACTGGACATCTTTAAGACGAGTACACATGAGCTAATTGTGTACACCTACGGTTGATAGACCTTATTCAAGTAGACTTGTTCCACCACCAAAGCCATTAGCGAGAGTGCAACCACCGATATTATGGCTGTAGGTTGCAGCGCCCCTGCCTCCGCTAGCGATTTTGTTTTTCCTAGACGTTTGAGGCAGTGGACATTGGTGGCGCTATAGATTCAACGTAACGCCTCCTTGATGCATAAGAGTTTCCTGCCACTGTTTGCATGTCGTCCAGTGTTAAGCAATATATCCAAGGCCCGAGTAGGCCTACCATAGTAGGCATCATGCAACACCGACTAGTCTTACTGTAGTAGTCTTCCTATAATGAAGAGTATGGTTGAACGCCCACAGATATGAACCCCCTTTTTTTTAAATTATTATAACAGACCATGTCTAAAATAAATAATAATTAGGCTATTATCTCCAAAATTCACACGAAATGAAATGTGTTTCACTTGACGTAAATGCACAAGTATATAAACCTACGAAATGATGTTGCCCTACCTGACATATGTACTGAATGCTCAGTAAATTCTTAAATAATTTATTTGGGAATGTACTGAGCATTCAATACTATACCACGTCAGGTTGGGCAAACATCTTTTCGTATTATTTATGCTGACGCAAAATGCCATCGGAGTATATAAACCTACACACCAAAATAAGGATATAATACAGTAAAACTATTAGGCCTAACAATAGTACAGCAGTAATATTTTATTCTGAGGCAGATACATACTGTAACTTGTTTGATTTCTAAATTATATGAATCTAAGAATATGACTATAAAGCAACTTATTTAATTATATATATATATATATAAATATATATAGGCCTATATATACAAAAGAGATAGATATATACATATAGATATACATGTGTCACTCATGTTACATATAACATGTCATGTCATGTAACATTCCACAGGTTAACTCACTAGATAATCTTGATCATTTTCCCTTTTTTGTGGGGGAGGGGGGTGGTAGATACACCACACTAACAAAAATGTCTGGCAGTGGCCATTCGTGATACCTGGTGCTATGCCCATTTTTTGCAATGCGTTTTATCGTGTCGTGACTTACAAGCTGATCTATGTTAATTTTTTTTTCCAGTTTTTAAATATTCAAAAATCTGTAGCTCGTTCACCGTTCCCCAGTTTTTCGTCAAACAACTTTTTTCTGTCTTGGAAAAATCAGTTCTACAACATATCAAAACATTTTTTTTCCTCCGGAGTCTGACTTTAACCTGATGAAACTTACTGTAAAATTTCATCGTTGTACAAGTTATTATGAATGGCCACTGCCAGACAATTCTGATGGTGGGGTGTGTCTGCCAGACACCCCCTTATTAAAAAATAACCTAGATTATCTAGTATTATCTAGTAAGTTAATGTGATGAAAGTAACTGTGAAGTGTTCGGCATTGTGGTGGGCACAGTGATAGAAAACCCCTAGTCTTTTACGGCCCAACACTGATCACCTGTAAAAAGTAATATTAAAACTGAGAATCAAATGACATAAAAGCACTGCATGAACGTTTTTGGAAGCACATTTGAAACATCAAAGCTAGGTTTCAGCCCTCTGTGTTAAATCGAAAATTCACTTTGGCCCTCCGATTGATTTTTATGCCCACCCCTACTCTAAATAAGAGTCTATTATACTGCAAGGATGGAAGTGTGGGTTAATAAGGGTGGCTGGAGAGCCATGAAATTAGCTTCAGACTGGATGGAAAAAGTACTAATACTCTATAGTAATACTATAATCTTTTATTATTTTTAGTAGTCAATATTGCAACAGTTTAACAATGAGATTCTATACAGGATTTAAAATTTATAAATGCCCAATATTCAGTAAAGTAGATTTTCCTACAATTAAAAATCGTAATAGTACTGGGTTTAGGAGTTCGTGCTTCAACGAACAGGTTATTCCATCCGAAGCCTTTTGATGAAGAAAGTGTACCTTTTTAGGAAGGGTTGCCTAAGTTAAAACTCACTCGGGCTATATGAAATTAATTATAAGCTTGAATTTTTAATCTTATTGTAAGGAATACTACAGTAACTTCACATTTAATTTTTATTACCAGTTGAATTATATAAAGTTCAAATTAAATGTAAGTATATAGTTTGCCTATTTGCCTAATTTGGTTTAGAAAAATCTAAAAACTTTTTTATTACAGGAATGTTAAACTTGCCTTATTTGCTCACTTGGTAGTGCTTAATAAGAACAAATAAGGCAAGTTTAACATTCCTGTAATAAAAAAGTTTTTAGATTTGTCTAAAGCAAATTAGGCAAATAGGCAAACTATATACTTGTAAAATTCAACTTAAAATTAAACGTGAAGTTACTGTAGTATTTCTTACATTAAGATTAACAATTCCTGCTTATAATTAATTTCATATAGTCCGAGTGAGTTTTAACCGAGGCAACTCTTCCTAAAAAGGAACACTTTCTTTATCAAAAGGCTTCTACGAATGGAATAAACCCAGTTCCATTACAATTTGTATTTGTACTGGAAATCTACTCGTACTGAATACTGGGCATTCATAAACTTTCAATCCTGTATAGAATCTCATTGTTAAACTGTTGTAATATTGACTACTAAAAATAATAAAAGATTATATAGTATTGTATGATATGCCTACATTTTGCAAATTCAGGGATGTAGTTATGGGAGAGGGAGAGGAGGTGGAGTCACCCAGCCTTGAAGTTTTCCATCCAGTCTAAACCTAATTTCATGGCTCTCCACCAACCCTTATTAACCCCACACTCCTATCCTTAAAATCCACTCATATTATTTAGAGTAGAGGTGGGCATAAAAATCAATTGGAGGGCCAAAGTAAATTTTCAATTTAACACAGAAAACTACCTTTGATGTTTGAAGTGTGCTTCCAAAAACCTTCATGCAGTGCTCAGTTTTAATACTACTTTTTACAGGTGATCAGTGTCGGGCCGTAAACACACCCCACCATCAGAATTGTCTGACGGTGGCCATTCATAATAATTTTATACAATGAACATCTTACACAGTACGGTAAGTTTCATCAGGTTAACTCATTACCTAATCTAGGTCTATTCTGGTGGTAGGGAATAAGGTGATGTATGGTGGGTATACCCCACCACTATAAATGATCGGAAGTGGCCACTGGTACTATGCTAAACAATATGTTTCCTCGGGTTAACTCCACCACAAATGTTTGATTGTCATTGTGGTCACTCATGTTACATGTAACGTGTCATGTCAGGTAACATTCATCAGGTGAACTCACTAGATAATCTTG